ATTTTCATTTTACTTTGATGTTTTAATTTTTAATTTCAGGCGAAAAACACTACTGATTCGTTGCCGAAATAAATGTATAAGTACATGTACATTTAATTAATGTATTCTATGGTACTTGCGATCATACTGTACAAAAGTAGGCATGTACTTTTGAATTTAGTTTTATTCGAGCCGAGAGTGTAATCAAGACGAATCTCGTCGTGCACTGATTAGCTGGCGAGGCGAGAGCGAGGTGTAGAGCGTACGTTGTTCATGTACAATGATAATATTATTGTAAAATATATTTAATATGGACTTATATAGACAAGTTGTTTTCAAATCAGAGCTGAGTACGGAGTCTTTTTAATTGTCTCGTCCTCAATTCAGATCTGATGTGGAAGTAGCTGAAATTAAATCGTACATAGAAAATTACTGTAATACCTTGTCTTATATAAATAACGACTGAATGAATATGGAATATATGAGAATTATAATGAAAATAATAAATTTCTCTCTTTTTAATGGATGAAGAAATAAAATTTCTCAGAAACGTCTATTGTCTCTTTCCTCGCATAATGTTACGTATGTTAATATTAAATAACTATTTCCACGGGTTTCTTTCGATATTTTCAGTTTCTTCTCGATTAAATAACTAACACTTTTTAACAAGGTACGGCTTCTTGTTTCTATCGAAATCGCAGATGGTTGTAAGATATATGTTGTACATGTACGTGTAATTTTTTACGATGCCTCGCGGCAATGATGTGTGCAAATCATTTCTTTAAGCATTTTATTTTCTTCTACTTCATTCGTATAATGGTCCAATATTAAATATGTTAATATTATTGTGTATTTGAACGGTTGTGAATGTACAGATAGATTATTATATAATTCAATACACTATAATTAAAAAGGTTCACAGTTCTTAAATGATACACTTAAATTAATGGAATGATAAATCTAATCGAGCGGTCGTATAATCTTCTTTATTCACTTGAATTATCTATCTGTTTATTTCTCAATTAGATAGACGACCGAGATGACTTCGAATTGAAATAAGAAAAAGGAAAACGAGCTATCGCGTCGCGAGGAAAGATAGGATTTGCCATTCCATGTGTTTTCTTTCTTTTTTTCCTATTCATTTAATTCTCGATGGCATGTAACGAGACGGAGCGCAGCTCTTTGTGCGAAAGATAGAAATCGAATGCGATACGCGTGTACATAGTTAAAATTTAAGCTTCGTGTGTGGCAATTGATCTTATCTCACGGTGGTAGTGTGAAGGTTTCGAGACGAGTTGTGAACATCGTATTATAGACAAATATAGATAAAGTACATAGCTTAAAAGTGTGCTTTGCTGATTCAATCAAAAGACGATGGAAAATCGCATGACTAGTTAAACTTCTGCAACCCCACTTCGGAGAGTGAACGGTACACTTGTTTTATCTAAGTAAATAAACGAACACGATATATTCCTGGGAAAAATAAACAGTTTATTTCGACTACTCTCGTTGCATACTACAGGACTGAAATTTATTATTTTTCGGAGAAATTTCTGAAAGGTTTTTACATAAATGATCGTCGAATGGCCCTCATTAATATTCGGACATATAATAAAACGAAACAATTTTTTTTCACATTGGACAATCAATTTAATTTGTATTAAATATTAAAAGACTTAGTTTCCTAAAAATATATAGAGAAAAATTTTAAAACGTGGCTATTAGCTAGAATCACGAAAAACAAAGTATAAAATGTGTTTGTTAAGTGTCTTATTCGGGTATCCAACGAAAATTTGAAATTTTTTGTAGATGTAAAGATTTCTCAAAATTGACTACTGTGTTGGTACGAGGTTCAAACAATTAAAAATCGAAAATTATGATATTTTATCATTTTCGGTCAATGACTGGAATAAATCGAAAGATTTTTCACACGTTTTATTAAGTACTTCTGTTCTGTTGTTCAGTCGGTATTGATAAAACTTCGTAGCCTGGACCATACATAACATGCTTAATGCTGTAAAATTCATCTTTTAAATTTTCATTAGTAGACTGCGGATTTTATTTGTTTACAGAAAAATGAGGAACACAGGAAATATAAACCATGCACGTAACATGAAAATGAAGAATAACATGCAAAATATAATACAGGGTAAAACAAATTTCAATCTAGATATCATTTTTTTAATTAACAACACAAATGGTTTATTTTCTATAGAAATCCGCAATCTCTTCATTAGTGACTCAAATAAAGAACTTAAAAATCATGTTCTTTAGTTTTCTCTTCTTGAGCTAATAATTTATTTAATTCTCTTTTACACATTGTTTAGGAAATTAAATGTAACATTTAAAAAAATTAGACCCAATATTAAGAAAGTTATTCTGTTTTGAAATGTGTTCGAATATTAATGAAAGCCACTTTAAATGGGATTTGGAATTTAAATTCATATTATGCGTCCACGCTGTTGTAGTTTACAATGTTCGTAGTCGGCGGTACGTAGCAGACCTGTATTTAAATTAGGTTTAATAAAATACAATTTACTGTACATGCTTCCTTCGATTTCGCCTACTACTTTTGTTTATGTGAAATACAGTACGAAAGGCTCGCGTGTATGCTCGAACTTAGACTTAGCTTCGTGTGTTAGTAATTAAGTGACAGAGTAGTAAACGAGTAAAGATAACAATGATAAGAACCTCGCGTAGTGACCATCTGCTGCTAACTGATTCCTCCCGATCGCTTTATATCCGAATACCTCACTAACTTCTATGAGGAGAACAAACGATATTGTAACGATGTAAAGCAGAACCCTTCAACCTTCAGTTTCGATTTATTAAAATCTGTCTATTAGAATATTTGTATTTTTCTAAAAACTGTAATCTCCCTTTGTGTCAAACAAGTGGTGCCCCTAGTGGAGAAAACTCGAACATAATTGAATACACATACTTTAATCTCTAAACTCAATGTGCCATTATATTCATCTATTATCTCTATAATTATATAATATTACACTAATGTTCTATTTTTACTTTTAATTTAGTTAGTTTATTGGAACAACTTTACACTTATTAACAAATAAACAAAAAAAATAGTGGATTTCGTACTTGATTGAATGTTTAATATTAACAAGTGGATAACATTTTTATAAATGACACGAATTTGGATTGCGCTGATTGAGATTTTTGGATTTGGAAAAAAAATTTTCGCGAACGAACGACACGTGAAACGAACGATCCGTTAATAATGTAATTAATAAGACAGCTTGTCGCAACCCTTGGATGTCTGGGTAGTAGCATTTGATAGAAAAAAAGAAGACGTCGTTTGTATAAGTAAATTAGCAGTTCATTAGATTTTAACTATACATTTCAACAGGAAACAACGTAAACCTTGTTTTTTTCTTGAGGGAAGTAAATAAATTCGTTTGTGAAAAATAACAAAAGTAACGCTTTAATATTCTTATTGCCAGAACTATTTATAGGATAAATAGTAGATAAATTTTATCACATGTAAAAAAAGCTCTCATTATTTCTATTCTTGTGCGTCTTTATGGTTATACTTCTCTGATAAGTCAATTTTCTTTAATAATATTTTATCTTTCTTCAAATAAGTAAAAATAAACTTTTGACAAAGAAATGAAAATCTTGACAAGACGTGTCTCGGAACTTATACTGCACAAGTAAAACACCTCCGATAAATTCTGCAGGTAACTTGTTCCTCACCTTCGTCCATTAAGCCCGCATGAAGGGGAAAACTCTTTCTACATTTGCATTGCGAGGAGGGATAGCAAAGAAGAATTGAGCCACGTTTAATGGCAATTAATACTTTTAGAACTTTCAAAATATGTCGTCCACTTTTAAAGTGACAATAATTTGTTAAATTCCTTAATATAAAAATTCGGACATTTTTGTATACTTAAAAAACCCAGCCGGACAGTTTAAGACAAGGACGGATTAAAGATTCACGAGGCCCGGGACTAAAATGAATATGGAGCCTACTTAAGGGCTTCCAAATATAAATTTTAATTCATGTATGGTTGTGTGCGCAATACGATATACGATATCTTTTTATTCGAATTCGCGAGGTCCTTTGGATGTTGGGGCCCGGGGCTACAACTTCTGCTAGCCCCCCCTTTAATCCTCCTCTGGTTTAAGGTCTGAAGAAGAGGATATGTCTGGGGAAAAGAGGACATACGGTAACGCTATGATTAATGGACGACATCGGTCTACTGATGACTGATAACGTCGGGAGTGAAAAATCGACTCTTTTGGAACGCAACAATTTGCTTGAAAACAAAACGGTTCAGTATGAAAAGCCGAAGTGCCAAACAACAGTACGCCCCCGCGAGTTTGCTTTCGGTTGGTCAACTGGCGTTGAAACGTTTGTCGTTGACGGTTCAGGCGTGACGATGCGTACTCGAGCGCCGGCGGGAATTCTCCGTTCGTGCAATTCGCACAGTTATCAGGACAACGCGGCGAACTGCCGTAAATTAATCGTCCTCGCAATTAGACCAACGCGGTGACAGCATTGATTTCGAGATCGAGGCGGGAAACTCAATTAAGGACCACCGGGGAACTGTGCACGAAACGAATTCGGTAATTGGTTTAACGAACGACACGCTCGTTTCTCGAGGACCTCACGTCGACACAAATACTATGATTAGACTAACGATTTAAGGTGGCTTTATTAAAACATAAGACATTGCTCGTCATAATCAAATAGTAGTATGTTATTCTTCAGATCGTAATAAATATGCCAGTACGGTTAAATATTTACCTCACCGAACTCCAAATAATAAAGCTTGAAAAGTTCTACTTTAACATTGAACTACAATGACTCCCATTAATATTCGGACACACTTAAAGATAGGCTAACTTTTTTAATATTGGATCAAACGATTTCATTTTCTTTGAGAGATCTGGTTTATTACACGATATGTAATAAAAGATTGAAAAACTTGCTATTCGTCAGAATCTCCTTAAGACTGTTTCATATTTTTATTCCAGATCTTAATACAAAATGTAAAACAAATATTATTTTATTTTTTCTTTGAGATTCTGACAAATAGTTTTTTGTTATATATTATATTGTAAACTCCTAACATCCCAAAGAAAATTCGAGTCATTCAGTCCAATATTAAGAAAGTTATTCTATTCTGAAGAGTGCCCGAGTATTAATGAGAATCTCTTTTATGGCAGTAATGCACTTGTAGTAGAAACTTGGTTTTCTTTCCGATATATAACTGTTTCAATTTGTTGAAAGAATCATAATTTAATTTTATAAACAATAATATATAACAATTTATAATATATACTAAGATTTTGGAAATTCTTAATATGTACATTCGCTTGACTTCAAAATTTTAATAGAGCCATCTTAATGCATTTATAACAGGATTAGACATATAGAAATGATGAACGCTATTCAGGATATCAAAAGCTGTACTTCAATGTGAGTCAAATATTTTATTCTGCAATTGACGAATTTCGGCCAAGTAGGAATTTGAACAGAGATAATCGAACGCACAAAAATGATCTCATGAGAGACCTCAACGAACGAAACGCTCGTTTCTCGAGGAGCTCACATCGATACAAATATTATGACTATAACAAGGCTATCGATTTAATGCATTTCAAATGGAATTAATACATAGAAATGATAAACGATATTCAGAATATCAGAAGCTATACTTCAATGTAAATCAAATATTTTATTGTGCAGTTGACGAATTTCGGCCAAGTAGGAATTTGAACAGAGATAATTGAACGCACTAAAATGAGCTCATGACAGATTTCAACGAGCGAAACGCTTTTCGAGGAGCTCACGTCGATACAAATATTATGACTGTAACTAGATTGTCAATTTAATGCATTTATATAAAAACTGAATACATAGAAATTGATCGCAGCTATTCAAAATATTAGGGTTGTATACTTAAACAATACTAGCATGTTGAATTTGTTATTATA